GAAGTCCACAGGTTTTAAAGCGGCCGCGGTTGGACACCCTCCGATTTAAAACTTTGGATGTGCTTTACGAGTGGTAAATAATACCAGAAAGACATGGATCTATGAGTAAATGGGGATTAATAAAATGAGGGATTCTTCATTCTTTTCTTGTATAGTTAAGTTTAATGTTGAATTTACTCTGCCTGGTTGGTAAACAGAATATGGCCTACTGTGAGCTATCAGATGCTCGGCGGAAATCCAGAGATTCTCCTATGGGGAGACTTTTACTGTGGATTCCTGAGTGTTCTCCGAGTTTGGTTTTACAAAAAAAGGATGTTGAGACTTTGGAAAAAGTGCAAAGAAGAGCAACTGTGATGATTAAAGACCTGGAGGCAAAAGGATACGAAGAACAGTTGCAGGATTTGGGTTTGGCTAGTCCAGAGAAAAGAAGGACTAGGGGTGATATAGCAGTATTCCAGTATTTGAGGGGCTGCCACAAAGAAGAGGGTGTGTGTGTCAAGCTATTCTACAAAGCACCTGAATGGCAGGACAAGAAGCAATGGATGGAAATGAATGGAGGGAAGCAATCTAGAACTAAGGAGAAACTTCCTGACAGTGAGAACAATTAACCAGTGGAACAACCTGCCTCCAGAAGCGGTGAATACTCCAACACTGGAAGTTTTTAAGAAGAGACTAGACAGCCAATTGTCTGAAATGGTATAGGTTCTCCTGCCTGAGCAGGGGGTTGGACTAGAAGACCTCCAAGGTCCCTTCCAACATCATCATCATCATCATTATTAATTATTAAGGAGAAACTTCCTGACTGTTAGAACAATTAACCAGTGGAACAACCTGCCTCCAGAAGCGGTGAATGCTCTATCACTGGAGGTTTTTAAGAAGAGACTGGACAGCCCCTTGTCTGAAAAGGTTTAGGGTCTCCTGCTTGAGCAGGGGGTTGGACGAGAAGACCTCCGAGGTCCCTTCCAGCTCTATTCTGATTGATTGGCTGTTTTCCTGCATACGTTTCACGACCCAGCCAGGTAACATCATCAGTGCTAGAAGGGAGTGTGGGGTACTGGTAGCTCAAAAGTTGAATGTGGGGGTCCTTAGTGCTCTGAACTGGGCTGTTTTCTGGGAGACATTTCATTACCAAACTAGGGAATATCGTGAGTGGATTACATGGGGCAGCATGAGATGAGGTAGCCCAGGGGTAGGCAACCTTTGGGTCTTTTATGACTCGTGGACTTCAACTCCCAGAATTCCTGAGCCAGCCATGGCTCAGCTTGGAAACCTCTCCCTTTCCCCTCAGCATGGCTGACTCAGGAATTCTGGGAGTTGAAGTCCACGAGTCATAAAAGACCCAAAGGTTGCCTACCCAAGGTAGCCCACAGAAGTCGATCCTGCTACAGCAGTGGTGGCGAACCTGTGGCACGGGTGCCAGAATTGGCACTCAGAGCCCTCTCTGTGGGCACGCGTGCCGTCGCCCCAGTCCTAGGCCTTCAGCTGGGTTTTATAAAACCTTTTCGCTTTAGGCCCCCGTTGCCGTGTACAAAAAAAAAAAAAAAGGTTCAATCAATCAGTCAATTTCAACTTCTCGCGGGAAAAAAAGATCTTGCAAAGTTGGAATTGATTGATTGAACTTTTTAGTCCCACCCAGTCTGCTGTTACCATTGCAGCCACGCCCACCCAATGGGCCACACCCACCCGGCACCCGACAATGCATAAGTGGGTTTTGGGTTGCAGTTTGGGCACTCGGTCTCTAAAAGGTTCGCCATCACTGTGCTACAGGATTCTTCCATTTGTAACTCGCTTTTTCATGAACGCCAAACTCTGAAGAAACGCAGGTGCCTTTCTCAAACTCAAAAAAAAAAAGACCACCACATACAGGTAGTCCTCGACTTACGACCGCTTACAACGGACTCCCCCAGAGTTACTTACAACCCAGATTTGAAGTTCCGATAGCCCCTCCTTCCATTGTTACATGGTCACCTTTCGGGCGCTTGGGAGCTGGCTGGCATTTACAGCCGTTTACAATGTCCCGCCGTCACACAACCACAATTTGCAAAGTTTGGGGCTGAAAAACCATTGTCTCCAGCAAAAAATAAATAAAATAAAAAATCAATGGATTTGCTTAACAGCCAACCTGCTTACTTTACGGCCTCCAACCGCTTTCCGTTAACAACCGTCACAAAAGCCTTTTGCAAAATCAGGGCGAGGTCACGCGGCAACCTCACTAAACGACCGGCGTGACTTATGACCAGAATCCCAGACTCAAAACAGTCGTAAGTTGAGGATTACCTATATATTAAAACACCTCTAGCCGTACGCCCATATAAACAAGAAGAGTCAAAGACGCGGTTTTGTACGTTTTAGCAGCACGACTTTTTTTTCTCTCCGTGATTTTCAACGTTCGTTTAACTTTTATTTA